TGTTGTTTGGCAGGCCCAGGCTGGATTCGAACCCGCCACCTTAGGTGTACGTGGCTGGTGCCTTAGCCACTTGAGCCACAGGCACCGAGCCTCTTAAGGAGATTCTTAACATCCAGTTGGACATAGCAGATTACCAGTCCTGTCCAGGTAATTTACATAGGTCCTAGGGATTCCCTCACTGCTTTTTAGGCTCCTGGGACTCCTAAACATACTTTGGGCCAGATCTTGACCTTGAGAATTTAAGGCAGGTATGGAGTGCTTGTACAAGGGGTGTGGTTCGGGGTATGTATTAGCTTCTCCTTCTGCCTCATCATTCTGGTTTGTGCTGTGTGGGGGTGTCTATAAGGAGGGTGGAGTAAGACAAACAGGCAAGTCTGTGTCTATCCCTCTATCCCCAATTCACAGAGACCTCACAAAGGTCCGCTACTGGGAACCCCTAAAGGATTTCCTGAGAACATGCCAAGGCATTCTAGGGAGACCAGAATGTAGAACCCACATTGTTATAGGTAGTGATCTGGTGTGTGCATCTGGAAGGCATGGCTGACATTCAGTGTTACAAAAACCCTGGAAGAGGCCTAGGCCAGCCAACGGCTGGGAATGATTACTGCAGGATTAGGGAGGCCTGGCTCCAGCCAGTCTGGGAGAGACCCCCAAGAAGGGAGGCCCTGGAGGAGCTATCCCCACCCCTAGGTTCTTGTGCACAGAGAATGGCTTTGCAGCAGTTCTGCTCCAGGGTCTGTTTCAGGAGTTGTGGCCACAGTTCTCACACACATAGACCAGAGACCGCAGACCCTTCCACAGGGTCCCAGAAGTCCCTTTTCAGATTGACATGAAGACTCTAACAAGGCAGCCTTGCTTCTAATGAACAGGAAAACTTCTGTCAACCTTCTGCAAAGGGCTTCTTCACAGTCTCCAGAACACCTTGCATCCTCACTATTCTTTCAGGCAAATCCAAAGGTAAATTGAGACTTTAGGATATCAAAAGAGCAATGACAAAGTGTCATCATGTAGGAATTTTTTTTTTTTTTTTTGTGCAGTTTTTGGCTAGGGCTGGGTTTGAACCCGCCACCTCTGGCATATGGGACTGATGCCCTACTCCTTTGAGCCACAGGCACCACCCAGGAATATTTCTTTTCTTTCTTTTCTTTTTTTTTTGGAGACAGTCTCACTGTTACCCTGGGTAGAGTGCCATGGCATCATCGTAACTCACAGCGATCTCAAACTCTTGGGCTCAAGCAGTTTTCCTCTGTCAGCCTCTCCAGTAATTGGGACAAGCACCCACCATGACCCTGGCTATTTTTCTATATTTAGTATAGGCCAGGTCTCACTTTTGTTCAGGCTGGTCTCAAACTCCTAAGCTAAGGTGATCTTCCTGCCTCAGCCTCCCAGAGTGATAGGAAAGAATTGCAGGCATGAGCCACCATGCCCAGCCCATTTTGGAATATTTCTGACAGGGTCCCTGAATCACCTACATTAAAATCTCCTCCGAGGATTTTTTGTTTTTGTCGGTTTTTTGAGAGTTTCACTTTGTCAGCCTCAGTAGAGTGCCATGGTGTCATAGCTCACAGGAACCTCAAACTTCTGGGATCAAGCGATCCCCTTACCTCAGCCTCCCAAGTAATTTGGACTACAGGTACCCACCATAACACCCCACTATTTTTAGAGACAATCTTGCTGTAGCTCAGATTGGTCTGGAAATCCTGAGCTCAACCAATTCACCTGCTTGGGCCTCCTAGAATGCTAGGATTACAGGTGTGATCCACTATGCCCAGCCTCCTCCAAGGATTGTTAAAAATGAGGATTATTGCACCCTCCTCCACCTCCAGGATTAGAAATGTTTATGTAGTATGTGTGACAGGATGGGGGTGGGGTGGAGAGGGAGGAGTAGGGCCTGGGTTCTGCATTTTTAACAAATCCCCAGGAGTTGCCACACACATTAACATGAGAGAAACATGGAGAAAGTACAGAAAGAAGGAAGCAGCTCACATCACAGAGGGACAGCTGGTCAGGAAGGGTTTGGGCATGTGGCCCAGTGATCCACACCTCTGCCAGGAATCACATGGAGCTCCTCAGGGAAGTTAGGGATGAGCACACACCATCTTGTCTCCCCTAGGCCATGAGGGGATGTAAGGCAGAGATGGGGGTGTGCAGGCCCTTTAATGTCCCTGATTCCTTGGCAGCCCATAGCTCAAAGGCTACGAGTGGGGGAGGGGACCCATCCTCTCCCAATTGGGAGAGGAAAACCCAGTTACAGACTGAGGAGACACCTGGTGGACAAATGGGAAAAAGCAGACAAACAAAGGCAACGGAAAAAAAATTTTTTTCAGTAAAACTGGAAAAGGCTCTACAAAAAGTCTTAATGACAGCTGTCTGTCTGATGCAGCATACAATGGAATTAGTGTACAGGGGGCAGGCACTCTGGGTTCGCAGCTTTCCTCCATGGTTCCATGGCCTGGCAGCCCAGCAGGAGGTAGCTCCCCTCTTTTGAAGTCCTGAGATTATAGGGCTAAACACCTAGGATCCAATTCCAGCAAGTGCTACCTCATGCCAGGCTCTACAATGTGGGGAGCAGAAGGGCTTTAGAACCCACCATGTCACCCTTTAGGTCTCATTTATTTTTTTGAGACAGAGCCTCAAGCTGTTGCCCTGGGTAGAGTGCCATGGCATCACAGCTCACAGCAACCTCCAACTCCTGGGCTCAAGCGAGTCTCCTGCCTCTGCCTCCTAAGTAACTGGGACTACAGACACCTGCCACAACGCCTGGCTATTTTTTGGTTGCAGCCATCATTGTTGTTTGGCGGGCCTGGACTGGATTCGAACCCACCAGCTCAGGTGTATGTGGCTGATGCCGCTTAAGCCACAGGCACCAAGCCCACCCTTTAGGTCTCAATAGTGCGGCTGGAGTTTTGGCAAGAAGTCTACTTCCCTCCGGATTTAGGGTGGTTTGATCTCATGGCCTCAAATTTGACTTGTTCATACTTACCTCAGGGCTCTATATTTATTTCTCTCTGTGCCTGGATCCCTCTTTCTCCAGATATTCACATTACTCACTCCTACTTCTTTAGGGTCCAGCTCACATACCCCCTGCTCAAAGGTACCTTTTTAGGCTACTCATCTAAACTATCCTGCAAGCACTCTATCACATTACTATTCTGTTCATAGCATTTTCATCAACTAAAACTATGTTGTGCTTATTTGTCATTTTCTTGTCTCTTCCCCCAGAATGCAGTTTATATGGACACAGAGACTTTGTCTTTTCAGTGCTGGCTGGGTACCTAGGAACTTGAACAAAGCCTGATACATAGTAGGTTCTCAAATATTTGCTTAATTGAATTTCCTCAGCATGGAACCCTGCCTAAGGTTAGGACCACTCAGACTAAGAAGGGCCCGTAGTTCAGAACCACAGGACAGAGGAACCCTAGCAGAGGGATAAGAGAGTCTATGCCCCTGCCTGTCCTATCAGGCTTATTTCAGCTACTATCTGTGCACAGCCTTCACCCTGAAGGCTTGGAGGTATCTGGCTGGTAGGTATTGGGGGCCAGGTCTGAGCATGTCTCAGAGTTCTGGGGTGTAGCCCCCTTTTTGCCAGAAGATGGCTTTTTGGCCACTAGTCCATTGTCATCCTTGATCTTCTTGAGCCGGGACTTGCTCTTGGGTGGGATGGAGAAGGTGAGGGAGCTCTTGTTGAACTCAAGTGGGAAGACACCTACATCTCCATCAAAACGGTTTTTGGACACCTGCAGATACCGTTTCCCTGGACCAGTTACCAGCTTCCTGTCCTGCAGGATCAGAATGTTGTCCGCTTCCTGGCTTGCCTAAGGGAAAGGGGGCAGAAGGAGGAATGAGTAAGAAGATGTATAAGTGAAGCAGAAAGGAAGGTTGAGGGTACAGGGAGAAGTAGTAAGAATGGGGAAAGGGAAAAGTACTTCCCCCACACCACCAAAGCTCCATGAACTACTGACCACAATGCTGGGGTCACCCACATCTTTCAGATCCCTGAAAAGCTTACTGTTGTCTCAGATTTTGCACATGCTGTTCCCTCTCCTTCTCCACAGCTGGCCACCCCACTCATCTCAGCTTCCTCCCATCATTCAGGTCTCACTCCAAATGTCACATTTTATTAGAAAGACTATTCTTCAGTTTTTGTTTTTGTTTTCTTTTTTGGCCAGGGCTGGGTTTGAACCCGCCACCTCCGGCATATGGGGCCAGTGCCCTACTCCTTTGAGCCACAGGCACCGCCCAGAAAGACTATTCTTGATCCTCTTAAGTAAAGGAAGTGCCACTGTTTTTTCACTTCTGAGTGATTTTCTTTCCCAATTCCATGTTTGTTCCATGTGGCACATAGTTTGTGCTCTTTGTCCTTAAGTCCCTGTGCTCAGCCCAGGTCTGGAATGTAATAGGTGCTCAGTGTAACATTGTAAGCTCCAGGATGGGGCTGATCCTGCTGCACAGAAGGATCTCCCATTTATTTGATTATCTAATGCCTATGTTCTGCCAAACCTCAATTCAACCTTTGGCGATACCTCCTCTGGGAAGTCTTGCCAGGTATACCAGGCTGACTCATATCTTTTCTCTTTGTTTCCCAAATACCTGTGCTGTCTATCATAGCTGTTATAACACTGAGTTGCAATTACTGTCTCATTATTTCCCCACTAGAGGGTGTGAACTCCTGGAGAGCAAAGGACCAACTATTATCAACCTTTATATTTCTAGCACACATATTACAAGTTTGAGAACTCATCCTAGGAAAACATGTTACATACCTCATTGCTGAATATCACTATAGTCACCTTTGAAAGACTCCCCTGGGGAAGCTATACACCAACACCAGCACCTAGTCCAGACTTCAAAGCAATTTTGGAATTCTTTTTCTGGAATGACCATCAGATCTGTCATCACATGGCACACAAAACAATGCAACAATGAACACCACTCAGCCAGATGCTGCCACACATCAAAACAAACACAACTGTGAGACACTGACATACCCAAGTTATGAAACCTTACTGAGTATATTGTACAGTGCTGCCAATGTAAATGCATGGTGGCAAAGTTTGTTAACTGTCAGACCTGATACAACAGCTCTGATAGCCATTCCAGAAAAGGAGTTCCAATATTGCTTTGTAGGGTGGACTAGGTGCTGGCATCGGTGCATAGCTTCCCAAGGGGAGTACTTCAAAGGTTACTATAGTGATATTTAACAATGATGTATGTAGCACGTTTTATAGGATGACTTTGTAAACTTATGTGTCAGTCCTCGTATTCCTTATGTGATGGATCCAAAGGGACTGCCTCTTGGCTTTGCAGATGCAGAGTCCAGGCTTGTTAAAAATGAGGATTACTGTACCTCTGCTCAAACCTTTCCCAACATTTTAGCCTGAATGATGGCCACCCCTTCTACTCTCATAAGCTTGATGTCTTCTAAAGGCTACTCACTTTGGCTGAGCCAAAAATGGATGCTGTCTGCAGTTCCTTGTCATCATCCTCTTTCCGAGGGTGAATGACCAGTGTCACATGGCAGCTAGTGTCTGTTGCAAACTTCCGAAAGGCCCCAACAATGTAGTCTTGAGCTGCAATCCTGCCCCCAACAACACAAAGAAGTTATCAGACATAGAAGGACAAGAACATACATGTATTCTTTTTTATTCTGAGATAGTCTTACTGTGTTGCCCCAGTTAGAGTACAGTGGTGTCATCAGAGCTTACAGCAACCTCAAATTCTTGGGCTCAAGTGATCCTCTTACCTCAGCCTTCCAAGTAAGCTGGGATTATAGGTACCTGCCACAACGTCCAGCTAGTTTTTTGGTTTTTTGTAGAAATAGGGTCTCCTTCTTGCTCAGGCTGGTCTTGAACTCCTGTGCTCAAGCAATTCACCTACCTCAGCTTTCTAGAGTTCTAGGATCATAGGTGTGAGGCATTGTGCCTGACCTATACACATATATTGGATTCACTTGTATCTCCCACAAACCACTACAACCCATTCCACCTTCCTCTACCCAAGTACTCACTCAAGTCCCTGTCCTTATTTCCTACTGCTACACCCCATACCTACATATAATATATGTGGGGTGCTATGTACCTGTATACGTCTCAGCAAATAGGAGAGTACAGTGTGGGTGCCCAGAGGCCAGTGGCCTGAGAAGACATGTGTGTTCAAGGGGTTCAAGCTAGACAAGAGGAGGAATGTCACCTGTCTGTGGACAGCTGCTCGTGGCCCATCATGAACTGCAGGTTGTCGATGACCACATGACAAATGTCATAAACATAGACTGCATGTTGCATTGTGTCTATTACAGTTCTGGAAAAGGGAAAGAGCAATGAATTTGAGTCAATTACAAGCCATCTCCAGACCATCCCAGGCAGAAGAGGTAGCACCCTAAAAACTCTTGTGGCCACTTATTCTGCCCTCCCAAACCTATCTAAGAAGACCTAGAAGGAATCACCTCTGGAGCTAGAAAAAGAATTAAAGTTCCTGAATGCTGGAATCTGTCCAGAAAAGCAAAGTGGCTGGAATTGGTGGTTGGGGTTTTACCTGATACTCTGCTGCCCATGGAAAGTCATGAAATAGAGGGGCAGGTCTTCAAATCGGTCGGCCCACTCATCATATTTGTCCAGTTGCTCTTCGAGCCGCCCCATAGCAAACTGTGTCAGCATGACCCGGGCTAGTCTCACGTTGCTGATCTCAAAGCTACCCCACAGTGTGTTCACCCCCTGGGAACACAAATCCAGGGCATACTCACTGATGAATGTCGTCTTTCCACTGCCTGTTGGCCCTGCACAGGGGTGAAGCACAAACCTGGGTGAGGAGAAAGTCCTATTCTTGAAACCAAGACCCAGGTCAGGGCTTCAGAAACCCCCTTTTTGACATTTTCACGGCCCAAACCCATGTTTTTGTCATCTGATCCTGTTTCTTTACCCCAAGCAGTGATTTCCCAAAGGGTTACCTGTGAAGACTGTCAACTCGCCCTTCCGATGCCCTTTTAAGAGACGACTGAGGTCTGGGAAGCGGCTCCAGCGGACACCAGCTACCTGTTCCACATTTGACAGTTCCCCTAGCACCTCCTCCCGAAGCTGCCGGAAAGACACAATGGACTTGTGCCAGGCAGGCAGGGCAGAACGAAGAATACGAGAAAGATTTAAGCCTCGGTTTAGGGCCTCCAAGGGACAGGGTTGCTGGTCCCCAGGCCGCACCAAGGAGCATCGCTTGGGGTTTAGTTTTCGGGCAAACAATTTGGCAGCTTCCCAGGAACGAAGGTCATCCCCTAACCAGAATACAATACGTCGAAACTGTTCAAGGTAAGGGAGTAAGGCCGGAGGTAAGCAGGATGTTCCTCGAGGCAGAGCAAGGGTGGGCAGCCCTGTAGATTGTTTCAAGGCCAGGCTGTCAAGCTCACGACTTGTCAGTACCACCTCAACATCTCGATGACTGATCAATGGCAGTCCAAACAGATTGTGATAGGCACCAGGCCGGGGAATGGTGGTCTGTATGTAGTGCACTCCATCCCCCTGGCCTTCAGCCCCTAATAGCTTCAGGCCTCGTAATCCCCAGCTCCCAGGGTAGAACCAAGGGAAGACCAGGCTGCGAGCAGACCGAAGATACCGCACACTGAAACGCCTGAGAGTGTCATCTGTGACCTTGTTAAGGCCAAACATTGTACGAGCCAGTTGTATTTCCTCTGGGTCAGGAAGCTCCCAGAGAGGTACGGCTCGGTCCCAGATCCTCTGAACCTCTTCAATGTCCTCAGCTTCTAGGGTCTTACTAAGCAGGACCCCCTCTCGGTTCCCATCCCCTCGCCCCTCCACACTGGCCTGGAAGTCTTCCCAGCTCCCCTCTGCTAGGCTGGTCATGCAGAGAAAGCGGCCTGTGGTCTTGTCAATGAAGAGGCTGAAGGAAGTGGTAACACCAGCCTGGTCTTTGAGCTGTGAAGACTCCACAAAGGGGCTTGGTGCCCGCAGGCAGCTGTGGCCATCCTGGAAGGGGATCCCATGCCCCCGCAAATACTGGCGGATTTCAGTTGCAGTTACAGGCAATGCTGGTACCTCCAAGGCTGGGAGAGCTTCCTTTCTGTACCGTCTGCGAGGAGGGGCTGGGACCAAGCTTCGGGGCAGGCCCCTCCGACCCATCCACACCCCACGAAGGGGTAGCAAGATACGGAGGGGGTACCCACTTCGGAAAAGGACCCACATTCCTAGCCAAATGTTGGAAGTCACTACTTGAAATGCCTCAGGTGCCCAGTTCAGACGTCTTCACGAGGTCAGGCCTTAAGGATGCTCCACAAGGCACACTCTACAGAGCTCACTCTAGGTAGCTTCTTTCTCCTCTCAAACTTCTTCCTCATAAACACCCCCCTGGATCCTCTTCAGCCCCTTTCACTGCTACCTCACATCTATGCCCATCTACATCACCCTTTCATGTGTATGACCCTCCAAAATGGCTCCCTTACCTCTGTGGTCCTTTACAGTTTCTCTCCACCACCATCACACCTCTACGACTGTCTACAGAACTCTGCACAGTTCCTCCCTGATATGGTTTCTCTATATCATCTCCTCACCTCTACTGTAGCCTCCCAGAATCTCCTCGCCGCCCTCATCTCTTCAGCCATCTGCATCCTTTCTGTAGTCCTGCTCTAGGCCTCACAGCGACCCTCTTCGCTGCTCCTTTCCTCACTGTGACCTCCGTGTGCCTAGTGCGCTGCTACCTGACACCTGCCGATTTCCGAGCCCACAGGAGTGCCCACTCCACTATCCTCTCCGTGCCTTTTCTCCGCTCTACACTAGATCTGCGGCTCAGGTCCGGTGTCACCAATGTAGTCTCACCCCTCTTCCGCAGCATGTGTCACTGGAACGCGCCACTCGCCTTGACCCCAGAAGCAAAACTCCGCGAGCGCGGATGTCCCGGAACCGGAAGCCTGGGGTTTAGTCCCGCCTCCACTCCCACCACTTGGATCCGCGGCTTCCGATCTGTAGTTATGACTGGGCGCGGGACTCCGAGTCGTTTCTTAACCAGTGTCCTCCATAACGGACTGGGTCGCTACGTGCAGCAGCTGCAGCGTCTCAGCTTCACCCTCAGCCGCGACGGGGCCTCGTCCCGCGGAGCCAGGTGAGCCAGGGGAGGTGCGCGGGCGGGAGTGGGGACAGTAACGACTATCAGCGGAGGTCGCCCTAGTTCACGGGTTACTGTGCTGACCCGTCTCGGGTTCCTCAGGGAGTTCGTGGAACAGGAGGTGACCGATTTTGCCCGACAGAACCCTGGAGTCGTTATATATGTGAACACGCGGCCCTGCTGCGTGCCCCGAATAGTGGCAGAATACCGTGAGTGGGGCCGGGCTAGGGCTGGAGGGCAGGATCGGGCTTGCCCCGCTAGCGGCCTTCTACTCACACCCCACTTCCCTCCTGCCAGTTAACGGAGCTGTGCGCGAGGAGAGCATCCACTGCAAGTCGGTGGAGGAGATCGTGACGCTAGTGCAGAAGCTGGCCAGTCAGTCTGGCTTGGAGGTGATCCGCATCCGCAAGCCCTTCCACACGGATAACCCTAGCATCCAGGGCCAGTGGCACCCCTTCACCAACAAATCGACCACGTTTGGCGGGCTGCGCCCCCGAGAGGTCCTGGATCCGGCCTCAACACAGGTGCAAGGACAGTGAAGAGTTGCCCCACCACCTACAGTACCTTTACTTCAGTAGAGCTGATTCTTCTCTTTGGGATTCCAACCCCAGGCAGACAAATGGAACCCACCAAAACGAGAATTTGACACCAGAGGTTTTGTTTGGGTTAAAGAAGAGCTGCCTGTTTTCTTTCCAGTGTCCGCTTCTTAACAGTGGCATCCCTGAAACCTGAGCTGAGAGAACGTTCAGGGATTTGTTTTCTGAAATCCAGATTAATAATAGTGCTCTCAAAACACAATAAGGAGTATCATGGCTGGCTTTTGAAAAATGTCTGATGTCTTGCTGCTACAACCTTTGAGCTAGAGAGAGCTAGTTTTTCCTGTGCTGTAAGCCTGGCATTGGACTATGCATTTTGTGTGACTGTGTACAGATTAGAAAGCTTAGGTTAACATACTTGACCTGCAGTCATGCTGAAGATCTTATTTTAAAATATGTGCATATTGTAAACATAAGAGCCATTTTTCATTATTCTAAAACCAGTACAATATATAACATCCCTTTGGGATAGTTAGTATCAACAGCCATATGATTAATGTAGGCCTGACCCCCGGAGGGAATGATTCTCAGACCAAGTCCCTGGTAACGAGCTTTCTCTGATCCTGGCTGCACAACTCCCCTCCCCTAGGCACCTCTTTGTACAGAAATGAATCCGTGTTTTCTTTTGGGCTAGTGGGTGGGTTCTCTGAAAAGCTTCTTGAAGAAGAGAAGAAGAGGGCTCGGCGCCTATAGCTCAGCCGGCTAAGGCGCCAGCCACGTACACCTAGGGTGGCGGGTTCGAATCCCCAGCCCGGACCCGCCAAACAACAATGACGGCTACAACCAAAAAATGGCCGGGCGTTGTGGCGGGTGCCTGTGGTCCCAGCTACTTGGGAGGCAGAGGCAGGAGACTCGCTTGAGCCCAGGAATTGGAGGTTGCTGTGAGCTGTGATGCCACGGCACTCTGCCCAGGGGGACAGCTTGAGGCTCTGTCTCAAAAAAAAGAAAAAAAAAAAAAAGAAGAGAAGAAGAGAAAATGAGTATGTTCTAAGCTTAGTTTTAAAAAGGGAGGGGTAGGGAGGAAATAAGAGCCAGGAAGTAAAAATCTATAAACTCTTGTATGAATTCTCAAAATGTAATTTTTCTTGTTTGTCATGCCCTATCACCATGATCAATGAATAGTGTGAGCCTTAATAAAAGGGCCCATGCGCCTGCCCAGGACAGAAGCTGAGGATCCCAAGTTTCTTTCCAAGTGGTATTGTAGGGAAACAGAGCCAACCTTGGATGCAGAAATCACTGCAACACCTTCTCTCTAGGCTCAAGAGCCTGTCCCCTGGTGATGAGGGTAGGCTAGTCTAGACCGAGGAGACTACTCATAGCTGTGGAGAAAGAGGGTATTTATTAACCAACATGGGGGGAGGAGCTGAGCCCAGGCTCCCCACTCTGTCACATGCCTCTTCCACCCACCTGGGTGGGGAGTGGGACCATTCCTAAAGAAGTATAGCCATTCTCACAATAAATACATTCATTGTGGGGTGGAAGTGGGAGAGGCTGGGGGAAGGGCAGTAAAAACCCGTGGGATTCCACGTTCTCAGCTACAAAAATAAGTCATCCTCATCCAAAGGGCATGGGAGAACTCAGTCAAGATTGATTGTCCCATATAGGTCTAGAGACAGCAGAGGCCCCTGGACCCTAAAAGTGCCCCGGTGAGGTAGGACAGGGGTGGGAGCCAAGCATCCAAACTCCCAGCCTCTGACCTTTGCATAGTTCCAAGAACGGGCTTCATGAGCCAGTTGAGACATCAGATCTTTCCTCTCTTCCCCTGCTGTAGTCTAGGGGAAGCAAATGGTTAGTCCCCAAAAGGGAGGCTGGCTCATTGGGTGCAGTGTTGGTCATCCATCCTAGGGAAGGGTCTGTGAGGACAGCTAAATAGAAGGGGGGGATCTCCCTCTGAAATGTCCGTGGACCAAACCCGACAGATGGGTCCGTGGTGGCAAGGGGAGGCTCAGAAAGTGCATGTGGGTGGAAATGTAAGCACACGTGTGATACAAGTTTGTGTTACCACATGTGTGTGGGGAAGGGACGTGCCTGGAGGTCTGTCTCTATTGAGAATGACCAAGGGGAGGGGAGAGGCTGACTCACTAGAGCTGTACAGGAAGGGAGAAGAGAACGATGCAGGCTTACCTCCCCAGGCCAGCCTCTTGCCAAGCTCTTGTCAAAGAGGTCACCACATGGAGCTGGGAGTGGGGAAGAGGACTAGAGTGGGATGTGACAAGTCAAGAAGAAAGGATGAAAACAAGAATGTACCAGGATGGCTCAGTGCCTGTGGCTCAAGCTGCTAAGGCGCCAGCCATGTACACCTAAGGTGGCGGGTTCGTATCCCCAGCCCGAGCCCACCAAACAACAATGACGGCTGCAACCAAAAAATGGCCAGGCGTTGTGGCGGGTGCCTGTGGTCCCAGCTACTTGGGAGGCTGAGGCAGGAGACTCGCTTGAGCCCAGGAGTTGGAGGTTGCTGTGAGCGTGATGCCATGGCACTCTACCCAGGGGGATAGCTTGAGGCTCCGTCTCAAAAAAAAAAAAAAAAAAAAAAAAAAAAGAATGTACCAGGAGAAGAAGGTGGGGGTGGGAACACTGCAGCCCAGCTGATAAACATTATTCCATGTGCACATGTGAATGTATGCAGGGCTCAAATGACTGGTAGAGGTCTTGTCTGGCTTCAGGACCATCCAGCACACAGGGCCATGCAGAGGGTGGTGACATTGAGGCCATCTGGACCTGCAAAACCCTGCCTAGGAGAAAGAGAAAGGGTTTGGGCAGATGAATGGGACAGCAGAATGGAGTCCTCTCTTCCCAAGTGTGTAGGTTAAGGGGAGAGGAACTGGGTCTGGGTCTGCAGAGCACCTAGTCCTGAGGGAGCACCTACCTCTGAGGAGCACCGATGGGCCTGGGCTGCTCACATGTGGGTCTGTGGAGACTGAGGAAAGGGCTTTGGCTAGGCCTGACTCAGGCCAGCCCTACAGGGACACTAAAATGTTGGGAGAAGGGTAAGAAGTGAGGAGTGTGGAGGGAGGGGAGCTGTGTTAGGAAGGCAGCGGCCCAGCCCCAGGTAGATAGGCTGGCTTAGAAGAGTGTTTGTTCTGGTAGGCTGCGCTTAAACAGAGCTCTCATCTAGCTGCTCTACGAGTTGCGTGTGCTTCCTCTTCTCCAGGATGCGGCTGAGTTCCTCTGTGAAAGAGCAGGGCCCTGCCGGTACTCCATTGTTGCTCTGCCTCAGGAGCACATAGCTGTTGCCATTCATTCTTCGCAGCCGACTGGGCAGTGCCACCAGCCCATTGGTCAGCTCAGCTGGGGGTGGTGGGGGTGGTGGAGGTGGTGGGGCTGGGGCTCCCTCCCCAGGGATGATCTGGAGGCAGCTGCCCTCCAGGCCACCAGCCCCCTCCCCATTGTCACCCTCATCTTCCTCTCCAGGACACTGGCCTGAGACTGTCTGCAGCTGCACAGCAGATCCCCCTGCTCTGCCAGCCCGACCCAGTGAGTATTTCCGTCGGCGCCCTCGTCTGCCTTCCTGCAGACAGGCCACATAGAGGAGTGAGGAGGCCAAGATGAGGCAGAGGCCACCAAGTACAGCAATGGCTAGCACATAGAGCATCCTCACATCAGGTGCCAGCTGTGCCCCAGGCATGGCAGGGGCTTGTGGAGCTGGGGCAGAAGTGGCCCGCCGGACTGTGAGGCTATAGGAGGCCAGCAGGGTGCGGAGGCCATTCTCTTCAGCGTAGCAGCCATAGTTGCCACTGTGCTTAGGTTGTGTGTCTGTCACCAGCAGCCCATCCACACCCACACGGTAGCCATCCTGCCCATCACTTAGGCCCATGCTCCCATTGAGTAGCCACAAGGCCCGGGCCAGGTTGGATGGCTGGTCACAGGGCAGGAGGACATCATCACCTCGGAGCACAGAGCGGGTCTTCAGTGGTGGTGGCGGCCCTGGGAGGGGAGGAGACAGAAGTCAATGCTTGCCCATCCCAGGAAGGGCACTGGAGATGGCAAGCCAATTATTCACTGCTAAGTCCCTGACAGCAAGCTTAGAATCTGGAATCACAGTGACAGCTGAGCTCTGTGCTTGTGCATCCGCATGAGGTTCACAGTGGCTCTTCTCAGGAAGCAGGCTGTACCTTGGGCCTTTTTTCATTCTTTCTACATGTTCTCATTCTTTCCTGTGGTTTCAATTTCAACCATCTGCCAATGACTCCTAATCTCTGCATCCAACACAGACCTTGCTTCTGAGTGCCAGACTTAAATGTCTACCATGTGCTGGACATGTCCATGTCAAGTCTCTTGGGCACCTCAGTAAGGCCAAAGCACTTCTAAACTATACCAGGTTCTTTCCTTGTAGTATAATCACTGTGAATGGCATCACCAGCTACCCAGATGCTTAAGTCAGAAACTTGGGAGTCTGTTTGCTACTCTTTCTTCCTCACCTGTGTGTCCAACACTCACTAAGATTCTGTTTCCATACTCTATTATTACAGACCTGATCACTTCTCCTATGACTGCCAGCCCACTGTGGCCCCCACTCTGACCTTACCTAACAAATAGATCAGTGGGGTGATCTTTTAAAAACACACATTTAATCATGCCACTCTCTTGCCTAAAACTCTCCAGAGGTTTCCTACTGCTTTTCAGATAAAGACCCAATTTTTCTTTCTTTCTTTTTTTTTTTTGAGAGAGAGTCTCACTATGTCACCCTTGGTAGAGTGCCATAGTGTCACAGCTCACAGCAACCTCAAACTCTTTGGCTTATGCAATTCTTTCACTTTAGCCTCCCAAGTAGCTGGGACTACAGGTACCCACCACAATGCCTGGCTATTGTTTTGTTCTTGTTGTCATTGTTACTTGGCAGACCCAGGCCGGGTTTGAACCCACCAGCCCTGGTACATGTGACTGGCATCCTAACCACTGAGCTATGGGCACCAAGCCTAAAGACCCAATCTTCAACATGGTCCCTGGCCACTTCTCAAGCCTATTCTGTTGCTTAAATACACTAAGCTCCCTTTGCCTGTTGTACTTTCTGCTTGGTTGCATTTGTGCTATGCTGTGCCTTCCACTTATAGGAGATAGCATAGCAACTGTGCTATGGAAGCCCAAACTTTAGTCAGACTGCTTGTGGGCAGGTTTCAATTCTTATTCTCCTGTTTAATAGCTGAATAACTTGAATAGTTTACTTCTATGCCTCAGAGAGGTTTGTCCCTCATGGGGATAATAATAATGGCACCTCTATGTGCTCTCACCTAATGGGCACAATGTCAGGCTATAAGGCACACTTCCTGGGTGAGAGGCACAACCACAACAGGGAGTTTACCTAACAAATGCAAACATTGTGGCTTGGCGCCTATAGCTCAACTGGCTAAGGCGCCAGCCACGTACACCTAAGGTGGCGGGTTCGAATCCTCAGCCCGGACCCGCCAAACAACAATGACGGCTGCAACCAAAAAATAGCCGGGCGTTGTGGCGGGTGCCTGTGGTCCCAGCTACTTGGGAGGCGGAGGCAGGAGACTCGCTTGAGCCCAGGAGTTGGAGGTTGCTGTGAGCTGTAATGCCACGGCACTCTACCCAGGGGGACAGCTTGAGGCTCTGTCTCAAAAAAACAAACAACAAAAAAAAACAAATGCAAACATTGTAACCTAATCATTTGTACTCTCATATTAATCTGGAAAAACAAAGTCACATAAAAGTTAAAATAAAATAAAATCTCCAACCTGGTTTTCAAAAAGAAAAAAAGGCACCTCTCTCAGGAATGCTGTAAGAATAAATGAGTTGGGTAGAAGTATTTAGATCAGTGCCTGGCACAAAGTTAAGTACTCAGTTAATCTTAGTTATGATTATTAACTTTTATGTGGGATATTAAAAAAGTTTTGAGGTACACAAAAATCAAGAAATATGAAATCTGCATGGACAGAAATAATCGAAGCCTTCCCAGCAAAATAGATAAGTTGTGCAAGTTGAAACTTACACAGGCAAATCAGAAAGGATGCTGATGGCTATATTTCTTGGAAGTGAAATAAGGGACCTTAACACAGTCCATCTCAAAAGGTTGTTTTTTGTTTTTGAGATGGAGTCCTATTATGTTGCCCTCAGTAGACTGTTGTGGCATCACAGCTCACATACAACAACCTCTAACTCCTGGGCTTAAGTGATTCTCTTGCCTCAGCCTCCCAAGTAGCGGGGACTACAGGCACCTGCTACAACACCCAGCAATTTTGTTGTTGTAGTTGTCATTGTTGTTTAGCAAGCCTGAGTTGGGTTGGAACCCTCCTCCCTTGGTGTATGTGGCCAGCGCCCTAACCACTGAGCTATGGGTACTGAGCCAATCTCAAAAGTTTTGTAGTGATCCACACATTCTTCCTTTAGATATCAGTTTGGTCATCTGATCTGATCTTGGGGGAAATACCCATTACCCTTTTGAACTTTTTTCACAGTTGTGGTTATTTATAAGCATAAGTATTTGTGTAATCATTTGATTGCCTATCTGCTCCTCCATCACTTCCACCACTTGGCTATAAGCTCCAGAAGACTCTACTCATATTGAACCTGTTTCTTCACTTTTAATTCGTATGGACAGTAAATGTTTGTTGAAGACTTACTCTGTTCCATGGTCTGTGCTGGATCATCTTCACCAAATGCACACAGGCACTCAAATACAAACACACACATACTGATGACAGTAAATGGTAAAGAGGACAGACATAGCTAGACCCATGCACATTCATGACTGTCACTTACCTGTATCTCTGCTGCCCTCACAGCCTCGATTTCCTCTTTCTATGTCCTGTATCAGTGCTGTCCTGGGGATAGAAGGTCAGGATTTGTAAACAAGGGGATTTGGGCTTCAATTTCCACAGCAAAAGGATTGATAGAACTATTATCAATAACTAGCTCCCCCTCCTCCAACAGCTGGCAGGCCTTCCTCTTCCGCTCAGGCCACATGTGACCCTCACCTCCCACCACCTCCCACCTGCTACCCTGGGACCTGTTGGTTACAGTGGTGGCTGCCATGCAGGTATGGGTGCTGGGGTCCCAGCCACAGTAAGGGTCCCGGGCCAGGATGCAGTCATAGCAGGAATGGTAGCGGAAGCAGCTGGACAGTGGTAGCTGGATGACTCCACTAGGGGCCCCCACGTAGAGGCTGTGCTAGGAGTCAGAGAGGACAGCTGGTCAGCAATGCCCCTGATTCCTACTTATAGACACAGTCTCTGTCCAACCTCCCCCCTCCCACTGCCTATTCCAGCAAGGCTGTATTAAGGGTCACAAATCAGGGGCTACCTGCATCAGAGAGATAACTATATTCTCCACAGACTGGGGCTCCTTGAAAACTTGTGTCTCTTCAATAATGTGCATCCCAGAACCCAGGACCACAGCCTTGTGGATCCAACCATCAGCTAGCATGGAAAGGGTAGTGAGTCAGACCCCAATAATGGGATCTGCTCTCAGTACCCTGTGAGGTCTAATGGGAACAGCTCAGGAGACATGAAGTTGGGGAAAGGAGACAGTTGGAAGCAGTACTCTCAGGACATTGGGTACTCCAGGCTACTCATAGCAGTAATTATTGGATTTAGAAGCATTATTGATCAGGATCAACAGGGATCAAGGATTTTGGTCAGAAGCACCTGTTCCCAGAAAGAGCAGGTCATAGGTGGGTCCAGCAGGTGTGGTGATGGGTGTCCCTGTGAGGTGTGTATAACGCACATTGCGCTTGAGCAGCAGGGGCCGTCCACGTGTGGGTACCACAGGCCGAGCCATCAGTGGGTGCAACTTCACAAAGTCCAGGACCAGGGATGGCAAGTCTTGGGATGAGTTGTAGCCTTGGTTGCGCAATGAATCTGTGATGCACTAGGGTGGGGACAGGGGTGGTGAGCCTCAGGACTCCACCACCTGCCTGCCCTCTCCATAATGCCATACTCTTTGCCCCTCTGAGGGGCTCTGTTTCCTCAGCACTGGCCCCAGGCCTGAGCACTCACCGAGCCAGGCCGGGGCTCAGGCACCCCACCCTCGTAGCGGCCCCAGCGCCGGGCACCATCCTGGTACTCCATGTAGGGGCCTGCAAAGACAGCCTGCACTTCGGCCAGGTCATAGCGGCAGATGGCTGAGGCCTCCAGGGTCTTCCTAGGGAAGCAACATAAAGGAGGGGGCTAAATCACACTGAGTGAAGCCTGCCCCCTGACCCATGCTCAGCCTGGAGCTCACTGTCATCTTGGCCAACTCCAGCCATAAGCCCAAAGAGCATCTTCTGAAATTCTCACTTTCCAGCCAGCCTTCCCCACAGTGATCATATTTCCTCTTTGGCCTGTGCTTCAGCTCCTGTACTGTCCCCAGTTCTTTGCCTCCCCATTGTTCCTCCACTGACCACTGTGTGATCAGCGTGAAGGCTGCATAGAAGTGTGTACGGGATGAGGTGTCAACATCCAGGCTGCAGACCCCACGCAGCGTCTCATACTGTGGAATGTGGCAGATGAGACGAGCCTTCAAGAAGGATGTCCACTTCTTCTGCAGGATCTTCTTCCCTCCTAGGTCTCCCTGCAGAGGTAGTGGCACAGGGTTAGTGGCCAGGGTCAGAGGTTCAGCCTCTACACTCGTGCCCTAACCTTAGCCCTATGCACCTTGCACACACGGGCCACACGGGCCACTCGGTAGCTGCTTCGGCTCTGAGAGAAGCTGCTGGAGCCCTCCTCAGCGGCACGCTCCGTGAAGAAGTAGTAAACCTTGTCATCATCACCCACTGCGCTGGCCTTGCTCTCTCGCACGAGGACGGAGTATACAAACTCAGCATCTGTGGGCAGTTCAAATGGCTTCTGAGACAATCTGGGGATGCTTCCTAGACCCTTACCCTTCACTTGGCAACACACAGGAATGGAATGGACAGGCTCACCTGGGGATTTGGGGATGGGATGGTCAGCTGCCCAAGGGAGTTAAGAATGAAAAAATAGTCCCCTACCCCCCATCATCCTGTGCCTCATCCTCCTAACCATTGAGCCAGTGCATTGGTGCTTCCTCAGTTCTCAGGGAGTGTGGGTGGCGGCTCCGGCGGATGTCAGGTATGCTCCGGAATTCATACCGTGTGGCTGTATAGAGGCCTCCATCTGGGGCAGGGACATACCAGGCATGAGACATGTCATATATGACAGGGCATATGACATACATTGGTGGCTAGTCCTAGAGACAAATTCCATGTCCTAAAGCACCATGCTGATGGTAAACAGAAGGGCCTGCTCACCGATGACAAGGCCTGTGAAACCACGGGCTGGGTCATAAGGACATTTCTCCTTTCCCTCCTCGAAGCTGGTTGGCAAGGTGAAGGCCTCAGCATCCTGGGGAACAAGGGGCTAGTAATTAGTTCTGAGGACAGGCAGGGGTGGTGGCTCAAGATCAAACCAGTCTGGGGTCAGGGATCAGCAGTCAGTGCTAGGAGCAGGTATACTCACAATGGCAGCACAGAGGGGCTGGAAGGCATGAGTTCCACATGCATAGAGGTGGGTGTCATTGAGCCGCTGTAGGAACCGCACGTGGTTAAAGCACTCAGTCTGTGGGATGATGTGAGGGAATGCTGTGAGCCCCCTGCCTGGCTAGAGACCTCCTTTATTGGCTCTTGTCCCCATCATAGGTCAACAGTTCTTTCCAAGATCCACCTGCACCTTCTCACTGAACACAGAATATTCCCTGGAGTTCACTGTCCTTGGCCTCCCAGTGACATGATACCCTTCTCCTGCATCCCTCAGATTACCTGACACCACTCTGCCAACTTCTGTGTCAGTTTCCTCCATCCCCAGTTCAGGAGTTCCTTGGATGTTACTGCCCTGAGATACTTCTCTCATGGAGCTCCTCAGTAACTCCCCACAGTCCTGGACCCCTACCCCCAGGATCATACTACCCAATCTATCCCTAGGCTCCAGCTTCTCTTCCCCTGATATCCCAGAGACACATCAAACTTGCCTTGTCAGAAACAAGCTTAATGTCTCTTCCCTTACCTGCATCTTCCCTCCTAAACCTGTTCATCCAGTCTTTCCCACCTCACTTGCTCCATCTATCCTACAACTCAGTCCAGAATCTAAGAATCATCCTTGGTGCCTCCCACTCCTTTACCCCCACGTCTAGCTCCTCTCCATGACTGATTCATCATCTTGACATGATCCACTTCACCACCACCACCCAGTCCAAATTACCATCACCTCTTCCCTGGACAACTGCAGTGGCACCTGATCACTCTCTTAAGTCCCTACCATATAAAAATGACTTTATTTCTTTATGAATGAGGAATACATGCACATAGTATAAAATTAAAAAGGTACAAAGGGATATGCTCTAAACAGAAAGTTGCCCATTTATCTCTGTCCCCTAGGTCACCTTCAAAGAAGATGGCTATTACTGTTGTCTGGTCTTTCCTTTCAGAGATATTCTACCAATAACATACTTTTATTTCCCTCCAACTGCTTTCCAAGGCGTATTTTTAAAATGTAAACCAGATCATGTCACTGCAGTGGCTCACCAGTGCCCTGAATATAGAGTCCCATGTGCTCCTAGCCCTGTCCCTGTCTATGGCCCCACTCATCCTGCTCCAGCCACATTAGCCTTCTCTACCCACAAAATGCCCTCAGCTGTTGCCCTCTTAATTTCTTGATTGTTATCCAGGGTCTGAGTTCATGCAGTCCTCTTTGTCTCCTCCCACTCTCACACCTGGTACAGGCCCCTGGCATCTGTTCCTCTAATCTACCTGTCTGCTCAGGCCCCTTCCTCTGACCCATGTGGTGCCCCTGGCCTCCTCACTGGTTTTCCTGCCCCCAGACTCACCCTATTACTTTTTTTTTTTTTT